ATGCATCCATGTGAGGCAATTGCCTAGCATAAGCCATTACGACATCACATTTAATGTATTCAAATGTCGTCGAGATTTAAAATGGTATGAAAAAAAAAAATGCAGGCCATAAGTCAAAATTGGTTTCCATATTCGGCTGTGCTTTGATTGAGGGGTTGCAATAAAGCCCCGTAATAGCATCCCTATTAAATGAAGATCACTGTATATAACGGAACATGGAAGCACCTGTGTAACTCTCCTCCATCTAAAGCAAGGACAATTTATGGCATTTACGACAACCAAATCACAAGATGACCAAATTCTTTCAAATTTGTTTAACTTTCCTCTCAAACTTCCCTCTTTTTATCCACCAGTGCACAAATACAATACAATGCCTCGCAGAAACAACTTATACAGATTACCCGAGATGTTCGTAAAACCACAGACCATATCAGTAAGGTAGCAAGAAGAAACCATAATCAGCAATAACTAAGAGCAGTTTCCTAACTATGTGTCACTTTATCCACAAGAAAAGCATACATTAGAAAGAAAGAAGCAGAGAGAATTCCATACCACTGTGGGTAGTCACAATGAACAGTTCCATTAAGTTGTGCTTGTGCAGCATTCCACTCATCTGAATATTTGAATGGTATGTGTGGTGCAGTATGGTGAACCATGGTGAAAGTACTCATCTATAATTGGAAACAAAATAATTCATCTTAGATGGAAGACTCTAAATAATTTGAAATTTAACATATGAACTGAGAACTGATTAAATCGAGAAAGTCTGACAGTGCAAAATATTTTGAAGTTCATACAATATCAAGATTTAAGTTTAAAGCCATGGAGAAAAATTACCCAAAAGTGGTAGCCCAACCAGGGCATCAACCAGAATTTGATCCACCCCATGATTCCTGCCTTGTAAATGATTAATGGCCATCCAACTGCCATGAAGGCAAAAACACAAGCTAAACTTATCTTCACTCTCTTTATTTCATTTGACCTGAACTTCTTCAAATCAAAGTGCCACATCAACCTGTCAGGAAAATTTTAAGGTAAAGCATAAAATTAGGGTTAGTATCAATAATTCTAAAGGAACTGAACAGAGTTAAATGCGTGACATACCAGTGAGCAATAGACATCCAAGGCCGAAATGGACCATATCCATAAATTATTGCTTTCCGCAACAGGGAAGATGAATCAAATTCTTCTTTCCAAACAGGGTGCCACGCCGTGTCTTCATGCAACCTATAGCATTAGAGATAGATTGAGCAAAAACCACATGATGAAGAGGTACTAACTAGTATTTGCATGCATCATGCATGCATATAATATAGGATGGGATGAATTTCATAGCAAGGATATTAGCATTACATAGATAAAGCAGCAGACTGTCACGTGTGAACAACCTATGTTCTCTTTTTTTAGTATCATTACCAACTGCCATTGTTTTTTTTCTTTCTTTTTTTTTTTATATATTTTATTACCATCTGACTTTTAAGTACGCGTCGTACATACATACAGAGAGAGATTATGATTCAGAGATATATCTTTTCAAGTTTAAGTGATCATAAAATGATTTCTTCCTTATCCACTTTACTTGAATTAAGATGCTACTGGGGTGGGGTTGAGGTGAAGAAACTAAGTCCAGCACTCCCTATTGAAAAGGCACGGTTGGTAATACCTGTACAGAACCCATATTGATGCTACAGGTTATCTATAAGAAACATGGCAAATAAAATAGTAAATTTGCTTACATATTTGTTTTTGCGTGATGCCTATCATGCTTAAATCTCCATGGCTCATATGGATAAATTAGTGGCAAGAAGGCTAGAGTTCCAACAATATCCTCCACCAATTTGTTCTTGGAAAATGATTTGTGCGCACAATCATGCCCAATAACGAAAAACTGAATGCCAAAAAGAAAAGGAAATGGAAAACTTAGCCAAAGGAGTGAAAGGATTTAATGAACTGGCACCAAGTTCGTCCAAAGGAAAAATGTATATTGAACTGACCCCTGTGATAGCAGTCCCCGTCCATGCCCAAGCCAGAGGAAGCAAATACCAGGGTGCTTTTGCAATCATGAAAAGCCCCATTGCGTAGGAAGTGACTGATATCATAACTGATTTCCATGCCTTCACATCATCAATCTCGAAGACCTTAAAAATATGAAGGAAAAATGATATGCATCAATCATCAATGTTTCAGGGGCTCACCTGAAACCACAAAGCCATGCAAAAGAATATACAGGGAAGACAACATTGTTTTAGCCATTTGATACAAGGCGCAGCAAGAAGCCATGTGATCGCTAAGAATGCTATATAATAGAAGAATCAGAAGGAAATAGAAGCATGAATCAGAACTTGCTAACTTCCATAACTGGCTCCTCTGCTTTTTCAATACTATTTACTAAGTCCTTTAGACCTCCATCTGTTATTAACTACTCCAATAAATTATTTTTTATCTCTTTCTCTCTATGGTGCCTAGCTTAGAGAGAGAAGCGCAAGAGATGACAGGCTTAAGAGGTTGATGAATTATATAGTGATTTATCAATAATTTCACCTTCTTTCATAGAGTATGCAGAATTTTACCATCTTTGATGCTTTATATAAAAGAGCATCCTCTACCGCAATAAGAAAACTGGCTACATAATGTTATTCAAGTGTGACAGCATATAGCTCGTTACAGAATATCTTACAAGGAGCTCTATCTTATAACAACATAAGTCCTGTTCAGCAGTGGTGGTATGAAAACATGACATGCATCTGAAGAAACTTACTTTCTTAGGCAGGGAATCAATAATATCCTTCAAAGTAACATTTTCTGGCAGCGGCTCCCCAACTTGCCTAAACCCATAGTTTTCAGCTAGTTGATTTCGGTGCTTGGCATTGTCCGCTGGAGATGCTGAAACTGGAACCGCCACAGCTTGTATGACAGTAATTTTCTTCCTTGGCATTAAATGTCTCTGATTCCCAAACCCCTTGTGGATAGGCCTGTCCCCCTTTATATTATATAAGCCTGTAGCAGAATAAGAATTACGAATCAACCAATAAATAGTCGCAACCATGAATTCATGCCAACTAAAGAGTTGAAAATTAGCAGACTGCATAATATTTTGCAAAGATACACAAATGAAACTTTATGTTACTGTCTTAAACTACCTTGCTTATTTATTCATATCAACTAAATAACAAAATGAGACCTTTTTCTTTTCCAGTGACAGCAAAATGAAACCTTTATTGCATGCAGTAAGAGGTCATCAAAATAACACAACTCATAATCTGGGCAGTTAAATACTAGACTCCTCCCGGTCTTTAATGCTTTGTAAGATCCAACGTCTTTTTACCAATGACAAAAACTCAATTGTTACGCAAAGAATGGACAATGCGATCACCAACACAGATAACTTGGAGGAAAGAATTGAATGAAGCATTATATTCAACCCGTTCATTTCAAGCCAAGACTACCTGGTAAGCATTGGGCAGTAACCTTCCTTCTCTGAATTGGCTTCTGATGGGAGCCCTGGAAAATAAAAACCAAATAGCATATAGTTAAATTCACCCCACCCCTAAACAACATCACCGTTATCATCACCTAGAAACTTCAAACTCAAAAGGGAAAGAGACAGGCGAAGAGCAATGTAAAACCATGAAGAGGACTGCAGAATCCGCAAGCCTAGAAGCCATGATGAGCAGAATTTCAGAAATTCCAGCTCAGAAGGACTCACGGCTTTCTCCGCTGAAAAGATAACGCTTTTCCCTTGGAGCCGCGGAACGAGTGGCTAGCTAGCGGACAGGCTCGTTGAGGTGGAACATATATAAGCGGGTTTCGAACTCCCTGAGGTCGGTCTTTGGGGTTATGGGACCCACCAAAATGTGGACACAATTTGAGCCTCCGTTGAGGCATTGAGATTCTCGTTGCGTCAGAGTCACTCGCACTGTGCATTTCTCAATATTCATCCTCCGCCTCTCGCTTTCCTCACCACGAGCCTTCGAAGCTCTACCGTCCAAACAGTGGTCAAGTTGTGATCAGACGGATTTTAAAACACTGATAATATAATTTTTTATCCTTAATTTTGATCTCTCAAATTACAAATATATAATTTTCCTAAAATTTAGTCTGTTAGACTAATGTTATTTCTATACAAAGTAATGTTTTAAGAGAGGCTAAAATCATAAATTTAAAATTTGGAGGATTAAAATTAAACTAGATTTAATTTTTAGGGACTAAAAATTAAATTAACCCTTTAAACATAGGGTTAAGGGACATCCATCACCTCGAAGTATTTTCTCAGGTGTATCTATCACCATAAAGTATTTTTTGGTATATCTAGTACTTTGAAGTATTTTTTTGTACATCCAACACCCTGAAATTTTTTTATGTGCGTACAACATCCAAAAATATTTTTTTGTACATCCAGCATCAAGGCAAAAAAAAAATCAAGATAATGGATGCACTTAAAAATATTTCAGGAGTATTAAATACAATTGAAAAATACTTTAGAGTGCTAAATGCACATTAATTCGTAAAAATATAATCAAAATTTCTTATGTTCAAGAGAAAAATATATAATATTAAAATGAAATTTGGAAGTTTTCTTTATAATTTCAACATAGAAAAAAATTGCATAAGTTTCATATCTAGGAAAAAATTAATTAATTCTAAACTACGATTTTTATTTGTAAATTAAAATAATAGATGGGAGATCCACAAAGGCAGCAAAATTTCAGATAATCATAGAAATCCCCATATTTATCTAAAATTGCTTATTTTTATGATATTATATGGTATTTGGTGTTTTTGGATTTTTTTTTTTGTGGGGCACAGATAATCTTTGAGCGTTGTCAAACCTAAATGTAAGAAATTATTGTAATAATTTTTTTATCCATAAGATTTAAGCTCATCATTACCTTGCCTGGTGGTACCTAGGAAGATAGTATTTTTATCTTGTGCTTCAATCCAGGCAGGATTAGCATTTATTTAAAATTAGTAAGGAAAAAAATTACAGTTGATAAATAACAAATCAAGAAATGAAAATGAAGGTGGTGACAGAGAGACAAAGACTTGGTAGGTAAAATGGCAAGCACAAGTTCATGTGCGTAATATAACGTGCCGATTGTGGTGATATATAAAATAAAGAATGGTTTTCACGTTTGAAATGATCTTTTTCCCTATCTTACGTTATATCATCATCTTTCTCTTTAGTCTTAGGTTGCGTTTCCACTTTCAATTCCTCTCTCTAATTTTTCAAATTAGCTGTAACTAATTATAAAATGTCATATTTATATATGGTTTTAAAACCATTGAAGGTACAACAACCTTACATTTAACATGCCAAGTTAATGATAATAATAGGAAAAAATTAATCTTTTGGTCAGTCAACTGTTAACTTTTTTGTAATCTTAAATTATGATTCGTTTATGACTCGTCCCTTATCTTTTAATTTTTTATTTTATTATCCTTGTAATTCACAGCTTAGATTGAGTCGTCTTATGTGATATAAATGGTAAAACACCTTGCCTTCAACTCGGCTCTACATATCACAAAAAGTAACAAGAAACATGTTTGAGAAAAAGCCAAAACAGGGGATGAACAGAGACTATGACTTACGCAACAACCAAAGATATGTTATGTTGGGTTTTGAGATTTAGGTTGAGGCAGGGATGGGAGAAATTTTAAACAAGCAAGTGATGGAGTCGGGTTTTATACTGTGACAGGGCTTTGGTGTGGGTGACAAGATGATTCAAAATGATTTTAATAAGATTGAGATATTAAGGTGAGGAATGAAGGAGAGTCTGTGAGAAAGATTTTAAAAGAGATAATGTTTGGTTTTAAAAAAGGGGGAGGGAGTGCGTGTGTGAAGAGAAGGAAGGGTTTGACTAAGAAAATGGCAACGCTGAAATTCAAAATGGGGAAGGGGAGACTGGCTCTTGGTCATGGAAGTCTAATTGCTGACCATTTCTACGCCCAAGGCTTCCTTTTGATTGACTCTCGATAATTTAATATTATTTTTTATTTTTAATATAAAGGTTATTTGATTTTTGTTTTTATTTTAAATATAAGATCTTAATTTATTTTATTTTTTATATTTTTTTAAGATAGTTCTTATAGTAATGATAGTTCTAGTTAATACACTCGATTAATAAGAATATTTTAAAAAGATAACATATATTTATTATAAATAACTAACTTAACTAATTTTTTTAATCTATTTAAATTAATTAAATATTTTTTAAATTAAAAATTGGAAGTAATAATTTTCAGAAGAGAGAGGGTATGAGTACGAAGAGCGTAACCTTCAAAATCAAAACAAGATCGATGAGGCCGAGATGTTGCAGAGACGGGTGTTGGTGCTGATCGCAGTACAGCACGGGTGGGTCACGTTATGAGAGGCTGTGTTATTTACCTCTCAGCATTACCGATTCTTCGGTCGTCTTCTTTAGTCATTACTTATTGTGTTACGTGGAGCTGCGCTAGAAGCAAGGTGTTGTATAGCAAGGTGTTGTATAACTGTGCTCCTCTTATTTTTAATATAGGATATAATTATTAAATTAATTTTAGTCTTAAATATAATATTTATTTTTTATATTTATTAATTTTTTCTAAATTACTTTTATGAATACTCCATCAACTATAATCAAATAAGTGAGGGAGGAAAGATATTAAAAAAGATGATTATAATATTTTAGATAAAAACATGTCATATTTTTTATAATTAACTAATTTATCTAATTTTTTAATCTAATCAAAGTAATTAAATATGTCTTATATTAAGAACCGGAGGAGTATTATCTATGCCACATATGATAACTCAATCTGACCTGTAGATTATGCGGATAATAATATAAAAAATTAAAAGATAAAGGGCTGAGTCATAAACGAATTAAAAATTTAAAAACTGAATCACACCAAGTTATAATTGAATGACCGAATTATAAATGAGTTAAAAGTTAAAGAACTAAAAAATTAATTTTTCCTAATAATAAACATTACTTGTGATGGCATGTAGTGTTTTTTTTCGTTTCTTTAAATTTTTTACATGAATATATAATTTTTTTTCATTTATTATTGTGTATGTTGTAATTTTTTTAAATTGTATATATTAAATATGAATAAAATTAAAAAGTTATTAAATTCTAAAATAAAATTAACAAAGTTTAACATTTTTATTCTATACAACATATTGAAAATAATTTGACCACTGTATTATATAATGTTATTGTGTTCTAATAACAATTAAATTTCTGAATAGATTGTTGTGGATTAAAAAAACCCCAATCAATACTTTTCCGTCGCCTTCTACTTAGAGGACTTCATATTACTTGATTAACCCTCTTTGTTGGCATATTCATTATTCAATAGCCCTTGCGTGGAATCAACTCAAAAACGATTTTGTACTGAGTATTTTCTTTTCAAGAGATAGCGTCGTAACTCTTTCACATATATGTTTATTAAAAATATGGTATTTTCTTGTGTTCTTATATGACCATGCATTCACATCACCATACTCACTTCGGCTACTTCCCATTTTATGTTTAGCGTGGATAATTTTTCTCTATTTAAACCAGCGTCTGGGTGGTGCAGCGATATGATAGCCGTCTATTGGTGGCCTTTATCAGGATTTGATCCCTACCTGTAAGCTCTGCTTTCCTACTAAATCTTTTTTCAAAGCCAGCTTGAATTCAATAATTAATATTTCCATCAATTTTACCATTATTTGATATAATTAATCCCAAGTATATCACTTGTAAAATGATTTGATCCCCCAACCTGTACATTATTATTTTTTAAAATAGAATTGGTGAGTCTGCAACAAATTTTATTAACATTGACCTTATTCTTGAGTTGATTAATTGTAGTGAAGGCAGCGATTCACTAATTAACCAATATAATAGTGTCACGAAACTTATTGTAACTAAAGCATAAACAAAAAATAGAACTTTTTATTACAAAAACTCATTGCAGTAACAGTAATATATTAGTATACTGAATGTTAAAAAAAAAAAAGAAATAAAGGCCCTCTAACATGTAAAATTATGATTTGGGACCCTCGATTTGAAAAATAACAAATAAGGACCCAGTCTCATTTTTGCAAATATGAAATTGTGGTAAAATGTCTGAAACATCTCTAAGTCAAATGACAATTTGACTATAAAAAATAACAAGTTCACTTTAACTAATAACAAATTTAGTAGATCAAATCACAATTTGGCTGAAGGTATACCAAATGACAAGTTGATTATGGGAAATAACAAGTTCATTTTAGCAAATGACAATTTCAGTAAACTAAATCACAGTTTAGTTGAGAGACATTTCAGATATTTCACATACATTTCATATTTGCAAAACTAGGACCCATTCCTTATTTGCTATTTTCCACGTTTAAGATCCCAAATCATAATTTTATATATTGAGGGGTCTTTATTTGTAATTTTTTCAAAAAATTAGAATATAAAATGTATAAAAAATAATTCTAGAATGTCCAATAATCTGGGTTATCCTCGTCAGTTAAAAAAATTTTCTCCGACGTCGGACCCACAGAATTACCGCCGCCCAAAACCACCACCAACCACTGTCCAAAACCATTCTTGAACTCATCACCTTCCACCGTTGGCCACCGCATAAAGCCCAGGTCATCAGCCGAGAAGCAATTTTGAAGACGGAGGAAAATAATTAAAAACCTTCGAAGTCACGAGCTTCAACTGCTCACTCCTGCGATGACTTGATGCGTTTCCCCAGCGAAGTAGTGCTTCAGCAGTGGAGGCGGAGATAATGGGAGCCGCAGTGTAGAGAATCTGAACGCTCGAAGGATACTCGCTTGGGCGAACATAGCAAACGGCGAAGATCGTCGAAGTCCTAGCTGGAGTGGTAGTTACTAGGCTTCGGTTTTAATTTTTTCAGATTACAAAGGTTACTTAAAGGTTATCAGACTGGGCTTCGATTTGGTCTCCAGGCTTCTACATTTTGGTCTGGTCGTCACCACCAACCTTGGAAACGTTTTTCTATTTGTCTTCTTACTTCCTATGATTGAAGCAAATACGAAGAAATTTGTTTACAATGAATTGAAGTATTCTGCTTCCTCACATGCGAGCCATAGATAAAAGAGGAGGTATGCAATATTTCTTCAACAAGAAACACTTATTGCTCAAATGATAAGGAGAATTATATTTAAATAAAAATGCAGTTTCATGAAGGTCTATACGTGAGAATTTTTGAGGTCAAGCCCAATCTTCATGTGCAAGTACGAAGAAATTTGTTTCCAACGAATTGAAGCATTATGCTTCCTCACATACAGCACATAAACAAAAGAGGAGGTATGCAATATTTCTTCAACAATAAACAGTTATTGCTTAAATGATAAAGAGAATTATATTTGAATAAAAATGCAGTTTCATAGAGGTCTATACGTGAGAATCTTTGATGTCAAGCCCAATTTTCATGTGTCCCACTTGTTAGTGGCTTTATTGTTTGGGATGGGATTCAATTGTTGTCGAATGTTGCTCTTCAATGTATGAAGCTGGTGAGTGATGTGATTGTGGTGGTATACAGTGTATAAATTCTATAATGTGATGTACAGTATCCAAATTCTATAATGCACCAAGTCTCTAACATGTGTGCCTCCTCCATGTAATTTCCAAAATAAACACCTGCTTCCGTGTATGCCCTTGACGAACTGTTGGAAAAGATCTTTGCTTGTGCTGACTACAGTTAATGCATTGCATAGTGGATATTATGTGCTTAAATCTGAACAATTTGAGTATGATTTGCAACTGTTAGGAATGAAATGGTGCACAAATTGATACACTCATTTAGACTTGATAGTTTCATCCCTAATAACTCACAAGCTGCACAAATTGATACACTCATTTAGACTTGATGGTTTCATCCCTAGTAACTCACAAGCTAAGTTTTCATTATAGCAGAGGAAGAGGCAGCAGATAATCTGAACACACAGTTGTGTAAGAGAAGAAACATGAGCACTCTTTCACTGGAACACCGTGGTCTCCTTCAAGCCATCGCTACTATCCTCACCTCCAGTCAGGTCCAATTCCACCATCTCAAACCCTACATTCCACCTCCACAATCACACACTCCTCCTCTCTGTTCTCTCCTCCAAGCCTCTCTTTTCTCACCCTGCTACACTTTTCTTCTTCTTCAAGTGGCTTCAGATTCATGCATCTGCTGCTGTTTCCAAGAGCCTACAGCATCTCCTCACTCTTCTCCCTCATCTCTTCAGCTGCAGCATGTTCACTGATGCCAAGTCTCTTCTTGTCTCCATCACCTCTGATCGGCACGATCCACTCCACACTTCCATTCGTCACCCAAATAGTTGCCTTCCCAGGAGCACCAAAGCCTCCATGGGAGCTTATGTTCAAGCTGGCTATCCCCACCTTGCTCTTCACATTTTCTACAAGATGAAGCGTCTTGGGTATCAACCTAATTTGCTAACTTGCAATACGCTTATCAATGCGCTGCTAGGATACCCATCTTCACATTCAATTTTTTTGTCCAGAGGAGTCTTTAAGGATGCTGTTAAATTTGGGGTGAAACCCAATATCAACACGTTTAACATAACCATATATGGATATTGTGCGGATAATAAGTTCAAGGCAGCTGTTCAGCTAAATAATCTGATGGGTAAATTTGGATGTCCCCCTGATAATGTCACTTATAATACCATTTTGAATGCACTTTGTATGAGAGGTCAGCTACATAAGGTTTGAGAAATGTTGCAAGATATTGGCTTAGTGCCAAATAGAAACACATATAATATTTTGATCCATGGATATTGTCGATCAAAATGTATTAAGAAAGCTGCCCGTGTTCTTGAGTTGATGACCCAAAATAATACGTTGCCAGATGTTTTTACTTACAACACAATAATCAGGGGTTTTTGTGTTGAAGGTAAGATTGATGAGGCTATTAGGCTTCGAGAGGAGATGGAGGATTTGAATTGATACCTGATGTTGTTACTTATAATAGGTTGATTGATGGTTGTTTTGAGTGACGAGGCAGTGTAGAAGCATTTAAGTTAATTGAAGAGATGAGAGTTAAAGGGGTCCAGCCAAATGGAGTGACTCACAACATAATGTTCAAGTGGTTCTTTAAGGAAGGTAAGATTGATGAAGCAAAGAAGACTTTCATGACGATGGTAGAAAGAGGGTTTTCTCCTTTTGCGTATAATACCATGATTAATGATTATTCTAAAGCTGGAAGGTTTGGAGAAGCATTTAGGATGATGAATGAAATGTTATCGAAGAGATTGAAAACTGATACTGTTACACTAAATACTGCATTACATGCTTTGTGTGTGGAGAAGAAGCTTGAAGAGGCATATGAGTTAGGCCAGGAATCAAGGCTGTATTCTTGATGAAGTAACCTAGGGAACTCTAATCATGGGATACTTTAAGGGTGAACAAACAGAAAGAGCTCTGAATCTCTGGGGTGAGATGAAGAAGAAAGGTATCATCCCTAGCATTGTCACGCATAACACATTAATTAAAGGTCTTTGCACGTAGGGACAAACTGATCTTGAACGAGCTTCTGGGGAGGGGCTTGTTTCCGGATGAAATTACATACAACATAATTATTTTTGGTTACTATTGGGAGAAAATGGTGGATAAAGCATAATTCCACAACAAAATGGTTGCGAATTCTTTCAGGCCCGCTATCTTTACATGTAACATTCTTCTTCGTGGACTTTGCAGGGAGGGCATGCTTGAGAAAGCTCTTAAACTATTTGACACATGGATCTCTAAAGGGAAGTTTGTTGATACAGTTACATATAACACATTGATATCTTCCCCTTGCAAAGTGGAAAGGCTTGATGATGCTTTTGATCTTTTGACTGAAATCAAGGAAAAAGAATTGGGGCCTGATCATTATACTTATAATGTTATTGCTGGTGCACTTATTAGTGCCGGTAGAACAGAGGAAGCAGAGTCTTTCATGTCAAAACTTAAAGGGACAGAGCAAGATGAGAAAATTCTTGATACTTCCCAAGAGCCTGATTCGTGTAGGACAATGTATTCGGATCTTACAAGTGATTTGCGCACCCAAGGGAAGTACATAGAGGCAATGAAATTATTTCATGAATCAGAGCAGAAAGAAGTCACCGTAAACAAATATGCCTATATCCAGCTTTTGGATGGGATCTTGAAGAGGCCAAAATGCACAAAAAGGTCGCTTGATTAGAGTGGTCTACGGGGTGCAATTGATAATGCCGTGGACTCTTTAGAGGTGTGGTTGCCATTCACTTTGTCATCTAATAATGATATTCTTTTCGATTGAAAATTTTGTATGGTTCTTTTTTTTTTTTTTTTTAATTTAAAGATTGGCAATCTCAAAACTGACGTATAGTTGAGATTTGGCTCCAGGATGGACAGAAGGTTTTCCTTCATGGAATTGGAGCTACCCTTTGTTATGAGGTTCCATTTTATGCTGCCCTTGGGCTGTATACTGAAGCCACAAAGGTATATACTACCTCCGGTCCTAATTATAAGACCCAGTTGACTTATTTGAGGAGATTAAGGAAGTAAGTTAAGTTAGTTATTTGTAATAAATAGGTGTTGTCATTCCTAAAATATTCTTGCTAATTAAGTGTATTGGTTAGAACTATTATTATTAAAAGGACTATCTTGGAAAAAAATGCATAAATATGAGAGACAAAATGGATTGGGGTCTTATAATTAGGACCAAACAAAAAGTCAAACAGGGTCTTATATTAAGGACCGGAGGTAGTAATTTTTATGTTCCAGCATGCGTGAGTTCTTTATGCCTATTATTGAGGTTTAGATTAATATAAATTACTGAAATTTATGCTCTGGGCAGTTTTCTTCCAATAGAACTCTGCGCGCGCGCGCGTGCTGCTTCTACTCAACCTAGTTAAATAGATCTATGGATTAGGGGGGAGGCATATTCGGGTACTATAAATATGTCTTGTTTCTTAACATCCTAAAAATATCTGGAGAGCAGACTGTTTTTTGACCGATCATGCTAAATCAGATATAATCATGTCAGTTTTTTCGTCCTTATGCACTTAGGGGACTATAAAATGCTGGTATATTTGCTTCAATAATTGAGTTTACCCCTCAACAAATCAGTGGCTGATATGCAGATCATACGCTCGAAGGGAATACTTTTAAACACAATTTTTGAGTGAGCATATAACATTTGTTGCTTTGAGATCAGTATACTGTATGTTTTAGATCAGTAAGTCAGTTCAATTGATCAATTGATAAATAAGAGGGCGCGTAAAACTTTCATTATGGCTTTTATAGTATTGCATCTAAGTCACGTAAAATATGCAAATGATTCATTTTTTTTAATTGGCAAAACTCAGCTGGAAAGAAGGATTTTCTTGGGCAAATAATTTTATTCAGAAAAAAAGGCCAACAGAATTTCCTTGACAACATCAATCCCATTTTTTGTAGCTGAAAAATTCCCTTGCTGCGGTTGAGCATTTTGAACAGCCCCTTAATTGAGGAAAGTACAGTAACAAAGTAATCCAGTCGGACTAATGTCTTGTTAAAAAACTGCAAAGAAGCCAATGGAGCTAAGTATTACAATAATAGCTCTATTGATAATTTCTGATCTCATGATGTCTTGAGAAATGAGTGAATTACATTGTAGAGATGATCAATGTTGATTGCAGACCCAATGTGAAGTTATGATGAAAGAAGCCGAAGAAGATGAGGAACATGACAATGATTTGGGAGAGCAAATCAACAATCCCTGTAACAAGATATATATAATTTCATGAACTAATGGTTAAATGGATTGGAGACAAACATACTTATACAACTAATTTTCAGTACTACTAGGTAAGTTTTAATTTTACAATAAGAAAATGATATGATGAAACATGCATGGAATGACCAGTAGTATGATTAGGGTGAGTAATAATTATTGAATCCAACATCAATAGCTCTATAGAACTGAAATGATTTAGGGTAACATGATATCTACATCCCATTCCTGAATTATTTTCAAGAAAACATTTTGATATTTTTTCTTATGTCGACAAAAAACCTCAAATGCAAGTATTCAAATGGGAAACATCCTTAAGTCTAAAAGATTTTTGCCACGTTTTTATTTGCGGGAATTACTAATACTCTATATAGTTTTGCAAAGAAAAAATTGAGCATAAACCCATACTATTTGAGTGGATCAACATATCAAACAACTGAGGAAATAAGTTTAAATTTGATACCTTTTGGTATTCTGTTGATTTGATTTCTCTAAGAAGGCAGACCCTTTGTAATTGCGGCATTAATATCACCTTCTTCTTCATCAATACTGGATTTCATGAGTAATTTCTTTGTAAAGACTAGAGAAAATGAAAATTGATGAAGATTCATTTACAATTTTGTGCCCCTACACATTCAGGTTAACGGTGTTATATAGCTGAACGATAAGATTTATGGTAAAGAAAACAATGGGTTAATAAAACTATGTGCTTCAAAAATTTGATCAGAGATCAGGTTTGATATAAGAAAAACAATGGACTATCAAAACAGTGTACTTTAAAACAATGGATTATTAAAATCATATGTTCTAGAAGTTTTATTATGACTCAAACTCCTTGTGAAAGACAGCTTAAATTCATTAAGCCATCATCAACTCATAAATACACAAAACTCACCGTTTTATTAAACTTAGAAGATTGTGTTTAGAACTTTGGGATGTATGGCATACTCCATCAAGTATGGATTATAGGGTGCTTCTAGAAGAATACGATGGTTCAAAATATAAGTCACCTCTAAGAAAATTAGTACTTATTTACCCATTTTATTTTTATAATAAATACTCATTTCCAATTTTGCCAATTCTTTGCATTTTCTCTCTCTTCATAAAATATTTTCCATGCAATTAATCTGATGAAAGTTCACTCCTCTCTCTTTGTAAACACCATTCCATGAAAAGAGTTTGATGAACTGACTCTTTTGGCTCCTAGCAAATATCATTTTCGATGGAAGAAGAGAGAGAATTTTTTTTTTCTTTCATTGGTTATTTGCCTTAACTCCGCCTATATTGTATAGACAGTTCCAAGCTCGGACAAAAGAGGAGGGTTGTGTTAGGCTCTCGATAGTCAACATAAAAACCCGTCGAATCTTATGAACATGATTATTTGCCTTGGACATTATTGAAAAAGCATATGGATGTAAGAGAAAATGTATTAAAAAATTATTTTTCACACAATTTTTAATAAAGGTAAGAATGAAAAAAAAATTTTAATTTAAGACATGTTAAATGATTTAATTGTCATTTTTTAATTCTCATGAATGAATTAAAATGACCTGTATAGTAGACAAGAGGAAGTAGATGTTTCGGCTCACTAGGTCACTTGGACAATCAAGATTGGACAACTAAAATAACTCGTCTCCAAGCGACGCTAGTTCCGGTGCTTTGGGTAATCTTGTTTTTACTTTTTAAGACTTCTATTTTTGTACCTTTACTTGAAATTGAGATTTGTTGTGAACTCTTGTTGTTATGCTACCCCTGATTTTTAATATAAAAATTTGTTTGATTTTTATTTTGATCCTAAATATAATATTCTAATCAACTTTGTCCGTCGTATTTATTCATTTTTTTTCAAAATAGTCATTATAATAATAATAATTCTAGCCAATACACTTAATTAGTAAAAATATTTTAGGAAAGACATTACCTATTTATTACAAATAACTAACTTAACCAATTTTTTTAATTTACTTAAATAAGTCAACTAGCTCTTATATTAAGGACCGGAGATAGTATATTGCTATGATATATTAGAAATCTTTTGCTTTTTATTGCAATAAAGTGATCCCTTCAACCATTGGCACAATTCATGTATTGACCCTAAAGAATATTTCAAAAATTTAAATTGACCCACTACACATATATACATGTTGCACAGTTCAAACCCTTTGCCTAGCAGGCTACATGCGGTGGAAATAGCCAGGAACGGCGTTATATCACAATAGATAAAATAATGGGGTATCAAAATTGTGTTTTTTAAGTTTTACTAGAGATTATATGTAAGATAAGGAAAATAATGATTTATCAAAACAGCGTACTTTGAAAGAATGAGCTACCAAAATCGTGTATTTTGAAAATTGTGGAAGAGGGCTCAAACTCCGCATGATAGCCCAAACTACAAGATAAACAAAAACACATTTCATCAAAATTGAATATTGTGTTTTGAATTTGGGCAGTGAAAATGATGCAAAACGTAGGTGTTTAGTTGTACTTCATTAGGTTTCTTGCATTAAGATTAGACCCTCTTGCTTTTCATTGACATATATGACTTTAACCCTATGTTATGAGAGAAATAGAAGAGAGAAAATTTTTTAATGGATTAGGTTTGAAAAATTAGAAAAATGACGTTATAAGATTTTAATAAAGATAATGTGTCAAATAAGAGTAAAAACATAATTAAAATTTTTTAACCTCATTTCTTTAATTTTTCAAATCGAACTAATTAAGAGCCTGTTTGGTTCAATCTTACTGTTGGCCTGCAATGACAATCATGATTACATTATCAAGATATGAGTGTTTGATTGTTCTTTAGTATGGTAGTAATTTTTACCATAGTAATAATGATTATAAAAAATTTGGTAATCCTCATTCATGCCTCCCCCATGAATCATTATTATCATTTCATTGCATATTTCAAAAAGTCTCTTTTGCGCTCCAATCTTTATTTCCTTCTTCCACTTTTTCTTTATCATTCACCCCTATCCCGCCGCTGATGAACTTGCCACTGTGAGCACCGCCACATCGAACACCCACAATAACCATCGTTTCGGTCCCATGTTCGCCACCCAAAAAATTGTAAGGAAAAAGAATAGCTCTATGCTATTGTTTGATGACAATGAACCGTCTCTAATAAGAGATAGCCATGGAGATGCTGGTGACCCTTATGAACTGCCTCCAACAATTTTCATTTTTTGTTTGCTCAAGGAAGAAGACTGTGAATCTATGCTTGTGCTTCAGATTTTTGTTGAGAAAGAAGATAATGAATCCAGGAAGGAAGGATATGGAAAAGGAGGAGTTTTTTTTTCTTGAGGGGCATTATAGACTTTTCAGTATTAACTTTATTTGATTAAATATAAGAAGTAATTTTTTTGCTCAATCTTCTTAATAACACACCAAGCATATAGATGGTAATAAACGCTGCATTACATTTCATTGCACTGTATTGCATTACCATCTCTAGGCATATAGGAATTGAACCAAACGGCCCCTAAAATTTTTTCTCTCCTTCCTCTTCTCCCGTTTTCCTCATACCAAACAGACCGTAAAAAATAACTGAATAATTCAAATTGATACATATGTACACATCGATATTAACAGCGTTGTTGACATTGCCAATTATTTTGAAACATAGTAGCACAAAAACTTCTCTATAATTAAGAGATCACGTGTTCAAACTCATTTGTAAACTCAACCCATTAGTGTGTGTCCTTCTAAAGTGCCACTAAAACAAAATAACATCAAGAAGGAAAAAAGATATCTATGAAACTATTAATGTTTATAGAATAAGAAGAGCTATTAAGAAAAAAGAAGTGGGCTCTATGAAAGACAATTTTTTTAGCCTTTCCATAGCATCTATTTACAATGAGCTTTACATATTCAACATTGCATGGTTCAAGAAAACATGTAGGGTATGCTATATAGTTCATGCTACAATCGGTCGAGCTAATTTGTGGTGCAAGTTGTACTATAAACTAATTTTTATATTTAGGATTGGATGTAGTATATAGTTCATCTTCATTTGTTCCTTTTGTGACAAATTCTATTGATAACACCACTCCGAGAAGAAAATAGGAGGGCAACACTCGATACGAGTGCCATTCCGTCCTGCAATTTCTTGTTTCTATCAGACAACTAATTCACAGTGACGTTAATAATAAATAATAAATGAAATTAATAATAAAAGAGCAGATTCACCTATTATAGATCCCTTCTTCATGTCAGAGGCGAAAGAATGGGAAAGTGAAGAAAGAATCATGGTGCTAAGCACAGCTTCCATCACTTCCTCTCCCAAATCAATCCCCAATTCTGCTTTTAACTCATAACATCATTAACCTTATCGAACAAAATCTCAAACGATCTTATTAGGTAACCACACACGTGTGTGTGTGTGTGATAATTCAGAAGGTTCGATTGCAGCATATTAGAGGGTGAATGGTAATTGAAGTTTGAATAGTGACTTTATGCGGAGTGCACACTATGATCAAAATGTCATCCCTTTTCAAGAAAATTTTGGCCATTCCTTTTCTCATTGAAAAAAAATCCTCAAATTCATCATATTCTTCAAATGGAAAAATTCCTACAGTGATCCTCATGTTTAAAGATTTTCGCGACCTTTTTTATGCAGGAATTATTGATGCTTTTGTTGAGAATGCAAAGAAAAAATAAATTATATCAAACAAACAAGAGAAGAAGTTTGCATTTAATACCTTTTGGTATCTCATTGATATGATATTTGCAAAAACCCTAGCCTTGTAGCTCACAGCATTTGTATCATCACCATCGTCTTGCTCGGTGTCAGATTTCATGGATAATTTTCTCGTAAAATTAAGGACAGGGAAGATAAAATTTGATGAAGATTGATTTGCAATTTTGTGTCCTGACACATAATGGCATTTTATATATCAGAGATACATAAGGTTTAAGGAAATGAAAATATTGGGCTGTCAGATCAACGTGCTTTGAAGGTTTTACCAAATGTTAGGTTGACAATGATAAAACAATAAGACGTCAAACAATGGGCTATTGAAACATATGATTTGTGCTGTTTGAAATAGCTTATGAATAACTTTTCAATCATGATTTGTGAAATAAAAAATAAGTATGTGAGATGAGTTTTATCTCGACTTACGTAAAATGTGTTTATAAATTTTTTCATTGCTATCCCAAGCAGCCTCTTAGGGTTTTGTGAGTTATCTTAAAGTGTTTGAGATGAACAGCAAATACATTGAGTCATCACCTGCTAGCGTTATATTGCTATTAGATATGGTTTACGATTAAGTCAAAACCATGGCCCTAACTAGAAGTTTTATCAAAGATTAGATTCATGATAAGGAAAACAATGTGTTTACAAAAAAAAAATGTGTATTTCAAAACAATGGATTATCTAAACCATGTGTTTAGGGAGTTTTATTTGACAATTTTGCATTCTTGAGAGATGCACAAATAAAATTTAATGAGTCATCACTTAGCCAGCATAAATAAATAAATCACACCATTTCATTAAACTTGAAATAGTGTTTTGAGCTTGGAGATTCATTAGGTCTATTGAACAATTAAGATTGAAAACCTAAAACAGTCTCATTTTTCAAAGCACCATTGACATAAGTATTACATATAAGACT